CTCGAGGGCCCGTGGGGCATTATACAAGGGGGTGGCAATAGAACAAAAACAAATAGAACATAACGTGCCCATCATCACATAAAAAATGGCAGAGTTACAAATAAAACACCACGCTGTACAACGACAACAACAACAAAAAAAAAATTACGGGAGCACTTTTAAAATTGCTTACGTGTAGGTGTGCGAAAGCGTTCATACACGCAGCACATTGCCACAAGCAGCGCACCCCGCTGTCGACGGCGAGGAGGACAGCGGGCAGCGCACCCGCTCCTTCGCGGCGGGAGATGACTGAAAGCAGAGCGTAGAACACGTGAGGAGCGGGAATTTCTGACCGTTCTGACTCCCCCTTCCCCTCCTCCTCCACCCCTCCGGGTCGGCTTAAGGCCACAGAGGCCTTAGGTTGCCTTAGGTGGGCTGCCCAACGAGCGCCACCCTTTCTTCAGTTGTTGGTTTTTCGCGGCGGTCACCAACAACGCCGGCTGCACTCCGTGGGCGTGGCATTAGTCGCTCGTTTTTCGCGGTCAAAGACAATGCCGGCGGCGCTCCATGGGAGAGTTAATGCTTTCGCATTAATAAAATAAAATAGCTGCAGTGCTTACCCCAGACTGGGACGAGTGCATCAAAAGCTCATTCTGTTAACCATATATATATATATTTTCTAACTTCTTTGCTATTCTAAGGTGGATCCTTGTGGCAGGTCGTTCGCCAAGACGGCGTGCGCTTTTTCGTTCAGACAAATACAGGGACGATTAAACAAGTTGAGATAAGAGAGCGATTGTCGGGCCTCCAAAATAGGCGACGCCTGGCCGAACAGGTTTCCAGAGAGGACGGGTCACATCTTTGAGACTCGATGAGAAGATAGCAGTCGTTTTCGGCGTTTTCAGCGCGCCAGCGCCCTGTCTCTGGCATTTGTCAGCCACGAGCGACAATATTGTCCACGAGTTCTTTTGTTCCTTAAAAAAAAAAAAAAAAAAAAAAAAAAAAACAACGTTTTCTTATTACAACGATATTACAGCGGTAGCTCCATGCGAGTGGTGCACTTTCGCGTTGTCGCGCCATCAACCGCGCTCCATATCGACGTGGGCCATCTTCGGCACTCCGCCAAAACATTCCATGGGCCGCTGATAACAAGATAACATGCACATTCAGTAAAACACTTCCCGCCGGGCAGCGTATTTGTAGGCGGTGGGCGATAGGCGGTATGGCAACGCCGCTCGCGCCCGACTGGCTGCTCCTCGAAGAGCACACTGCGTTGTCACACGCGGTTGCTGCGCCGGCCGGTAGGGGGCGTTGCGCGTGTATAATTAGTAGGATGCCTACATGCCTGTCTGTCTCAGGGTGAAGACATCCATTGTTGCCCTGAATGTGCCAGCGCGTGACGCTCTGGCGCACTCGGTGCGTGACTTGGGCCAAAGTTACACGCTCGAGCTGAGTGACACCCGGATTGCGCGCACTCCCAAAGACATAAAAACCCTATTGGGCGGAAAAATGGCTGAGATGTCACCACTCAAGCAAAAGCGCGCGTGTGTATGAAGGCAGTCTAATAATTAGAGCGCTTTTAAACCCCCGCCCCGTTGACGCTGCCTCGCGGTGAGCCTGCGGCGGCTCACTCACGCGCCCCAATGATACACACGCGGCGCAACGTCGCCGCGAAGTACGAGAGAGGGGGGGGGTAGGTTATGTGCCGACGCCATGTGCTGTGTGTGACGAGTCGTCACACACAGCGTCAACTTCGAATAGCAGCCGATCCGGCGCGAGCGGCTGTGCCAGGCTGCCTATCGCCCACCGTTTGCAAATACGCCGCCGGGCCATCTGGCAGTGCACTGGGAGGGATGCCCTTGTCACCCAGATCTTGTACGAACAACAATGCTCGGGAGATACGCAGATAAAACCGCCTTTGAATATTACGATGTATTCTCTATCAGAAAGCAAGGGGAAAGCGAGTGCATTAGTTCCCCGTCATTGCACCTGACAGATACGGGGCATTATTAATGCATTAGTATTAGTACCAACATGACAGGAAAAACGGAGATGGCAAAATTACTTTTCAAATGTAGTTAAATTACGTTACTTATTACTTTCCTCAGAAATACGCTAATGCAATTAAATTACATTACAAATTACCGCAGACTAAAAGCATCTTCCAGGCTAAGCGAAGACCATGTCATTGAGACATTCTCTGTGTCTGTTCCTTCTACTAAAAGTTCTTCCGATTTCTTCCACCGCAGTGTCAGTTGTAATACGACATGATTAGCTACCACCAGCTCGCCTGCACACTAACCGTCTTTTAACCGAAGACACAAAACAATAAAAAAGGGGGAAAAACAGACAAAACAAGCACAAGTCTCCATGAGACTTGAGCTTGTTTTGTTCATTTTTGATTTATCGTTCCGTGTCTCCGGTTATTATGGAAGATCTTCACCAGCTTGCCTGTGGTTTTAGCCTTTCTTCGAATAAAATCAATTACATTACATTACGATTTCTTTTGAAAAGTAATGAAATTACTTCGAATTTAATTTTAAATTTCTTCAGTCATTAATTCGTGCCAGTGGCGACAAAAGTGTTAAGCATAATGTGGAGCTTCTTATAGGAGCAATGCAACGATATTAAATTAGAATGTTTTTCACTTGACACGAGCTTACTGGCACACCTGGGACTCAAGGATACTCCCAAGCAACGCCACTGGCCAAGAAACTCCTTTGTTGCGGTGTAATTTCAAGGACAAGAGCGATCATTTTCATTCAATCTCTCCTTTGCAAAATTTGATGACGTAACGTGGGGATCGCATACACCCAAGCGACGATATTTGAATGCGGTTCATAGATTGGACCCGAGCATTGCGTGGGCACTCGACTTGGGCTCGTGATAATTGCTAGCTCGAGAAGCATTCGGGCAGTGACCCGTGTCCAATCGCTGCAACGACGACAACAGCCGAGCCATAACAATGTCTGGAATTCAGCGCGTGTCCTGTGCTTTGCCAACCCCGGCGCGTGGCTCTGATCAACACTGGCGGCATATAATCGGCTCCAGATCACGTGGCCGCTTCTTCTGGCTGCGAGTTGAGGGGGTGAACGCTGCTCGTTTTTCTTTATTTTTTTCTGTGACTTCTATTGGCGTGGGGTGAAAAACGAAAGCGTGTTTCATAGGTCATTAACGTTAGGGATCCGTTTTAAGCGGTATTTGCGCAAAGTACAAAAATTGTTGCATCGCTCCTTTAAGTTATGACAAAACAGACAGCTCACCGGTTTCGCTGTTCATTTAACGATGATATTGATCGGTTAATGGCTGATACGATCGCGTGATTATAATTTTAGAGAAGTCGTCCACCGCAGTTGGTCGGACCTTGGCAGCTCGTTTTCACGTGAAGGAGTAACGACTGTTGTGATATGTGCTAAACTGTCCCTTACGTGGCCTTTGGCTAACCGGATCTACCGTTCCCGAATGTTATTCGCGCAAGGTTGAGGGAATGCCTAAAGCTTCTTCCTTCTGACTCGGACGCAGTCGAATTGTTTTCGCTTAAGAGCGCTGGAAGACGCATTCCCGGTCATTCTTCACGAGGACTGTTGTTCCACAACACCGGAATAGCGCCAATTATCGCGCGTTGTCACGCAGGGGGGCCGAAATATTTTCTGGGGAGAAACACCACCAGAGTAGGAAAGCAGTTGCGGGTGCCTCCAGAAGTTTGTCCTTCCCAACGAACCAACGGCTATATCTGCGCGTTTGCTTGTTGAGCCTGCTTTGCTCGTTTTTTTGTCAATTCCAACTATCTTCCGTTCACCTCTGAGGTGATTGTGCGGTAGTAGCTATGCGTTCGTCGGACCAGTCAACCCTTTCATCACCTGACTTCGCTCTCTGCTTATCAAGTGGCAAAAGATCGACGCACGATTTCTTCAAAGAGCCCGCAGCTTCCACCGCACGGTCAGCTTAACGCCCGACGCGCAAAAATGAATCTTTCCTGGCAGAAGATTTCTCTTCTTTCCTCCGTTTTCCCCTCCAATTTTCTTTTCACTTTTTTTCGTCCTCCTCGCATGCTAAGCGCCTAAGCGGCTTATGCCCTCCGAAGCCTGAACAACGGGGAGTAGTCATACTGGCAGGAATCGAGCAACGGAAGGGGCTGTGGCTATCGTTTGACTCGGATCCGTAGATCGCTCTTCGGGCTATTCTGTGACGGGCTCGCGGGTTTCTTTTCCGGAAAGACCATGGACTCCTTTCATTCCTAACCTGACGGTACGATGGAAGCTACGTGGTCCTCGGACCAGTCCTATGTCTGTCTTCAGCCACGTGATTATGCTTCTATCCACACATACGCGAAGGATGGATGGTCAGGTGACGAAAGGGAGACGGTTCATTGGTCTGGCGAGAGCGTAACTTTCACAGCACTGTCAGCTCGACGGTAAACGGGGATTTTTAAAAAAAAATTTTTTATATGGCCTCTGGCGTTAAGTTGTGAAGTAGTGCGTCCTGCGTGAGGCATGCGTAGCACGAGACGCTCTCGTGCCCCGAGCGCTTGTGCACAACAGTTGAGACGCTTCACGCCACGCCCATTCAAGCAGAAATGTACCGGTAACTAAAGCCCCTTCATGTTTCAAAAGTAGCGCAAGGTGAGTCGATGCACGAGGCACGTGCAACGTGCAGCCCTTGGGAAGATCATGGTGGCACAGCGCAGCACTGAGCTGGATTGCAGACGCCATAGCCCCACCCCTGCCCGTTTCGGTCTGGATGAGCATCGTACCGGCGTGCGGTCGTGTATCACTACTGCGTGATGCACGTTAAAGACCCCAGGCTAGCGGCTGTACCGCACTGGCTAAATTGCTCATCTACAGCTGGGAGACTCGTCGCCCCTGTGAGGCAGACCAAGTTCTAGGCTGTATAAACACACACACAACCCAATTTTTTTTTTGCAGACGCCATGATTTTCCCAGAATAGAGGGGCTTTACCGGTAACAGAGCCGGTAACCTGACTACAGCGCCACTTTTTCCTCACGAAGCGACGGCACGTGGAAGTATACCCAAGAATGCGGAGCGCTCGGTACACCTGTCCCTATAGCCACCATGGTAACACCCCAGAAGAGAAGAAAACAACGACGAAGAAGCATGTTTGACGTGGCGGGCTCTGCCTTCGGTACTGGAGGACGCCAGGGACGCATCACGTGAGCCAATGCTAGCGCTTAACGTTTTCCCAGAATTACCCCCTCCCGCAACAGGCAATCAGTCAGTTCATAAAGCCGCAGTAGCGCCATTCGTATACAGAGCTGAAACTTTGGCATCTGGTTGTGACCTCTAGCACTACCTTTGGGCGGAGAATGAGCGTTCGGCGATGAATAGTTCATTTTTGCGGTGAAAAAGACCGTGTAAATTTTCTTTTGTGACACCCTGTACATCTCGTTCTCTTCGACTGTCCCTTGTACTTTCCGTTGGGGTTAGCGCATCTCGACGCATGAATTAGATTGCACGTGAATTCATTTCACTGTTGGTCTTTAGTTATGCTTACTGAGAAAAGCAAATTCGGTGGTGTGAAATGCGTGTTGCTGCTAGGTACGCGTGTGACGGCAAGATCTTTCATATTGACCTTTGATGCGACGTCAATGCAAGACATGTGCAACGTTATTAGATTAGCTCAGTTACGGAACTGACAATACACGTTGATTGCAGAAGCAAGCAGCGTGCCAGCATTCTCTCCTTATTCTATTGTACGTAAATAGAACAACCCTTCGTTGCAGACTATTGTAAATTGTGTATTTTCATACTTTAGAGCGTATTGCACTGCGTTCTGTGCAGTGTCTGCTTTAGGAGACAACTTTGAGCTCTCGATTGAACGACCAATGACCATTCTCAAGTTCAAATTAGTAGTCAGCGCACATATAGCGTCAGCGAATGTCTACTTTTTGTTTATTTCTTCTCAGCTATTAAAGAAAGAAAGAAGAAAGATCTTTCTAACGGCGCCAATACTCGTGACATGCAGGAGGCCATCACTGCTCATCGTGCTGTGGCTGTTCATCTCAGCTGTCGAAGCCCAGGTCAGCATCAAGCGTCCGATTCACCATACGGGTTAGTCTGCGTGCGCCATTCACTAATACCTTCAAGTAAATTTTTCATAACTGCTCCGAGAATACTATGTCCTATCGTGTCAGCAGCACCGTGAACCACGGTAATGTTCTGTTGCTGAAATTATTGATGCCTGCTTGTCGTGCGAGGTTACGCGTATCACTACAAGCCACAATCAGGCTGCTCATTCATCATACGAAAGACAGAGTCTACACACATGATGACATATGCGGACACGCATGTCTGAAGCATGTTTGGTTCGTGCATGCTTTGAACGTGTCTACAGACAGCCAATGTGACTGTCGTACAAGGAAGGCCTGAGACACCATGCTGTTGTGCCTATGTAGGGAATCGAGAGCCTTGTCAGGCTGTATTTCACAGCCTAGTTCCCTCCAGCTCCACCATCAATGTAGATGGAAATAAACAAATTATTATTATAACTTCGGCATCTGGTTCCGCCCTCTAGTACTGTATTTCGTTTCAGCTTCGGTCCAGACGCAGCCAAAGCTACAAGCGCGAGCTCCGGGCTTTCAGCATCCCTGCCAAGCACACGCGCTCGTGCAGTGCTAGCACTGTTCTGGGCCACATGCTCGCGCTTGTAGCATCGGATGCGTCTGGAACGAAGCTGAAACGAAGTATACATATGGGACCATAATGAGCATTCGGCGATCCAAAATTCAATTTCGTGGTGCAAAAAAAAACAAAAAAACAAAAAAAAAAACGTGCCCATTTTTCTGAATGTTCTGTTGTCGTTGTCTTTTTTTCTTTCTTTGGTACATGGTACCTTGACAGCGATGAGTTCCTGCCCGGAGAAGATCCAGCTGTGGCACTGCATGCGGCTCACTTGGGCAGCTCCTCCGTGCCACAGCAACTTCGACTGCGCCATGCCCTTTCCCTGCTGCACCACCTGGTGCCGCAACTTCTGCGCCAACGACTTCCGCTCCTAGGCGGGGAACTCTCGAAGCATGCGCTAGTGGAGCAACAAACTCCCACGCATCCTGCCGCAAAAAAAGAAAAATATCTACAACGACGAAAAAAAAAAAAAATCTACAAAGACGAAAACAACAATTTTTGGTGTGGGTCTCCTACTGCACAGCTCACTATATAGTCCTTTACACTTGAAGTCCGACCTCCGACCGGTGCTATACAATTTAATGAGACCAGTGGAACAGCGCCAAAAGTGCAGAGTCATTGTTGCTTTTGTGCGTTTGTTATCGGCGGCGCTAAACTAATCGGGCACAATGAATGCGCCGGGATCCTGGGCAGTTTTCTCTTCGTGATTGGTTAAGTCGATGATCGCAGATTCACAAAGACAACCGACACCATGATGAAGCATTTTTGGCGCTGTTCGATTGGTTCCATCAAACTGTATAGGGTCGGCCCAGGTCGTACTTGGAATGGAACGGAGTATACCACCCAACAGATTCATTGGAGCCTGCGCGATTTCGACGACGAATATTTACCCAGAACGTCGCACGATAGAAATAATAAAAATAAATGCAACCTGAAAAAATACCGCGCGAACGTTATCCGCTGGTGCACACAACAGAAGTGTGACAATTTTCTAACTGTTTGCTTGCTACCGGGTTTTCGTTTGTGCAAATGTAGTAAGGTGTTTATTTTTTTTTGTAAGTGAAAAAAAAAAACAAATGCTTGTGATGCCCAAAGTGTACTTCAATGATTTGTTTAAAATTACCCCACTGTAATTAATTCGATTACTACATTACAATATAACAAATGTAATGAACCGCATTAGGGATTATACCCACGCCGCGTGGTAAGATATAGACCGACACGCGGGCTTGACGTCACGGAGCTGCGGCGGCGCTGCGATCGCGTCGGAGCCGGGTAGTGTGGGCAGAGGGAGCACGTTTCGCATGGGCGTTATAGGATTTCAGCTTGCCGCGAAGCTTTGTTGTCGTTAATTACACCGAAGGGTACAAAAAAAAAAAAAAAATAACGGAGTGAGTTTCCACAAGTTCCCGGTAGACTCTGAAAGGCACAGAAGGTGGATCATGTCCGTGGATCGAAAAGAATGGTCGCCTCGCGCGAACGACCGTTTGTGCGGCAAGCACTTTCTTGAAGGCAAGTGCGGCTTCCTTTCAATCTCTGTCCCGAGGCTTGCTTATGTGCAGGGAAACCGTCGTCTGATCGAGACCACCCGGATTTTGTTCCCACGGTGTTCGCGCACAAAGCACAGGTCAAGCGCTCGTCGGAGGCTCGCTACGCCCGTGCTACCAGGCAGGAGGGGATCGGCAAACAGAAATAAACAGCGCGCAAAATTAGACAAGGACGAAAGGAAGGGGCGAACGACACAAGCGCTGAACTCACAACTAAACACTTATTGAAAAGAAAAACACCAACGAAGGAAACCGCACTATCGCTTCAGCACGTGTCAAGATATGCAATTTCTTTTTTGTGAAGAAAAACCGATGTTTGGTTGACGCATGCATCTTTCTCTTTATTTGTTATCGCATACGCTTCCAATAATTCTCTGGAAGTTTTCTCTGTGCCCCTCCCGATGATAATGATGTTGAATTTGGGCTGGCATTTACAGGCAGCACAATGCAGAGGCAAGTGACCCCCGGCGGTCGACCGGAGTGACCAGTCATGTTCACGTGGCCTGTCATTAATGCATCGGCCACTTTGGCCGATGCACACTCTTCCGCAGCTTAGTGGGATCTTGTAGACCACAGCAACCACACAATCAACATACTTGTTCCTGTGCTTTACTGCACATTGGCTCTTGCCCCCAGCCTTTGCCCCCAGCACTTGCTCCCAGCACTGGCTCCCAGCACTTGCCTCTTGCCCCCAGCACTTGCCAAAGCCCCAGTTGATTGGCCCTTGACCTCTCTTCATATCATACCTTGACTTGAAAACGTTGTATATAATCAGTTAATAAGTAAACTTCCACAGACCCACAGTCTGCTGGTTCCGCCGGCAGTGCGGAAACCGACTCAAAGAAATCGTAGGCCTCGAGAGACTTGTACGTCTGCACCGTATCGGCCGTGAACTGGCTTGGCGAAAAAACTAAATGAGCGACGACGTGAGCCGTCGACTTCGGTGGAAGCAACATCACGTCGCAAGTCTAGCAGTCTTGTTTTCGGCGTACGGATCCTCGAAGGCAACGCCGTCCACGCACAGTATGTTTCGATACCGCTGCCGTTTAGGCTCGGGTAGCCAGCTCAAATAGTCGGGCATAGCATACGACATACCCCGACATACGATGTCAGGAAATGCGACGCACAAATAAAGCTAGAAGCGTCCCTACAACGTCAACAACGAGCGCACGACGCACAACGCAATGGCGAAAACACGGAGAGCCGGGCCGCTTTTGCCCACACAGCTTCCGCGCATGCGCGGCCTTCCGGCCGTGTTGGTAAACAGAGCCGCTCCTCGTGTCGGTCTCTAATCGCATTTCGGTCGAATGACATTATCTGCTCGGTGAATGAGCGCGCGACGCTCGTAATCAGGGTCGCAATCGATGGAAATTCCATTTAGCCGCTTGGCAGGGGGTACGATTTACACAACTAATTTTATGACTTCGATTCGATTACACTTCGTTTATCACGACTTTATCGACACTGCACAACCTTCGTTTAATTTTCTTCGGAAAGCAAATAGACGTGGCGAACAAAGTAAAGCAAACGATCAATATCTTCGGTCATTGATGCCGAAGGTTTCTGACCACATAAAGTTGTGAAGACCAGATTTTGCAGTCAGACCACTATGTTGAGAGTACTCTCAAGTGTCATTCTAAACCCATAGTCTGCGACAGGTGAAGGGTTCAGGGGAAGCTTCTCCCACTTTTTTCCACTTTTGCAGAGCGGACGCTGGAACGCCTCCTCTCCAGCGTCCGCTCTGCGAAAGTAGGAGAGAGGTGGGAGGGGTTTCCCCTGAAACTCTTTACCTGGCATCCACTATAGTTAACCTGAGAATTGCCAGTACACTACGAGACAAACAAAAGGGCAAGAAAAATGCTTTTTCTGAGTGCGTAGCCGGGCGAGCTCGTGCAATATCAAAATAAATAAATCAGCTCGCAAAAATGAACAACAACACGAGGAAAAGTACGAGACACAAAAACAAAGCGGTGATTATCGACTGCATCTGTGCCTCGTTGCAATTCTGGTTTCCCCATCGGAACGCGCCAATCCCGTGTCTGCGGTGCCCCTCTGTCCCCGGACCTCACGTCAAAGAGCTCGGGTCCGGTGATAAGGCGGAGGGCGCAGACCCCAGCCGAGCTTATATTGCGAAATGGACAAAGGTCCCAGTACTGGCGCGAGAAGCCCTTTCAATTAAGAGCGGGAGTTCCTCCTCCATCGCTAATGAGAGGGCTGATTTCATTTAGCCGCTGACGTGCGGCAGGCTCAAGCCACGTGGGCGCAGGAGACGGCTCGGCGGAAAGATTCCCAATCAGCCTCGGCCAGGGAGAATTTTCTGGGAATCTGAAGAATGTAAAAAAATGCCCTCCCACGCACACACGCACGCGCACAGGCACATGCACACGCAAACGCACACGCAGACGCACACGCCCACACACGAAAAAAAAAATGTATTTTTTTCTTTCAGAAGTAAATTGCGCGTCACTGAACGCTCATTCTCCGCCCAAGTGTAACGTCAGTGGTAGGAACCAGGAGAAAAAGTTTAAGGACTAAACGGTACCTTATTCAAAAGTTCCAGGTTAGTTTAAAAAAAATTTCAACGGATGGCGGCCGACTGAATCCTCGAATAGACGGAACTAAATGGCACGCCAGTTGCCGAGTCATAACAGGCGCCATTTTACCGTACTAACAGCGGAACAAGACATTAACATCCTCGTTATGTCATACCCCATTCACCGAATAAACTATGGTAAATAAACGGAGAATGATTGCATGGATGGATGGTACTGGTCATGCCACTTGTATCGGCTTAATCGTAACAATGTGCGGAGCGTTAACTAGCGTGGAGAGATCTCTGGTTTTTATACCAGGACCAGGCGTATTTTTTTCAGTGGTGCACCAGTCACCTAGCTGTGTTTGGAGATTTGTGTTTAGAAAATGTCTTCCCTCGTTCCCCTTCTAAAAGAAGTCTTATCGTTATTCTTGTTCAGCTTGCTGCACCTTTGCTTTAATCGCATTAACAAGAAAGTCCTTTCTACATGTTGGGCGGAGCAGGACGTGCTTGAACGAGCGGTGCAACGCGCCCCTCAAGGTGGTCAAATAAAGACGCCTAGGTATTGATTCGAAGTGAAGGGTTCGTCCACGAACGATTCGACAACTCATCCGCGTAAAGGCCTGTTGCTGTCGGCCAGGGAGCGCTGCAGCATACACGAGACGCGACCACAAAAGAGGCGTCTCCACTATAGCGTCTGAGAAACGCGACCATTTAATGCTGACGTGAACTGGCGTCCCAGCGTCCCGTCATGCTTCCTCTACAGGCGTAAACTAGCGTCTGAGAGCGTCGTTCCACAGCGTCTGCTAATGGTTTATGCGCACTGACACAGGGTTTGAAAAGATGCAACGCTACGCACAGCGGAAAAAGCGATCTGGAAATATCTGATGTTGCTCGCCAGGGACGCTGTTCAAAACTTGAGAGCTACGTGTCTATGCTGTCCTGAAAAAAGATTCGCCATCTTTCCATGCATCTGACGACCTCAAAGCGGCGTGGCAATTGTGGCCGCGCTTCGTGGAACGCCGGATATGCCAACGTCGAGCTTATCGGCGACCGGAAAGTGGTGTTGCAACAACTCCCACGAGATGAATGCTCCCGGCTTGAATGGATTCCAGAGAAGCTAAACGTAGACGAACATTTGATTTCCAAGAAGCGGAGTTGCATATGGAGCATGTCTCAGATAAGACGAAAACAACTCTTTCAGCCTTCTTCGATTTAACTTTAATCTTGATCATTTATCGACAGACTAATAGATACGTATTCAGTATTGTCGACATGCTTAGAGGAATGTAAAACCTTTACCCCTCGTCCTCCC